AGCCCCTTTTGGTTACTTGCACTCGCTGGTGGGGTTGAACTTTTGCAAGAATAGGGGGATATTGGAGCTTTTTTTTTTTAATCAGAAAAAAGTACCCAATGCAGGAATCAAACCTGGGTCGTTGCGGTCGTAAACCAACGGTTTAGACCATCCTTAAACCAACCCCCCTTCAAATCTTAGTAAATAAATAGTGTGTGACGTTTCAGTAACAACATTGTTACCAACTTCAGACAAAAGTACTGAATGAGAAAATACGGAAATATCTTTATTTACGGGGCTGCTAACCAAAATGGATGATTTTTGAGTCCCAATGGCCGTATAAAGTGGAATATATACAAAGCACTATGACCAGGCTGGGGAGGCTAGGGAAGAGGCAGGTTAGGCCAGATTGGGTCCACGGAGGAAATGAAAAATATTATCACAGCATGTTTTAAATAATTACTGTAAAGATAGGGGCTGCCTGCCCGGCATTCATAGTTCTTCAAATAAAAGATACTTCGGCCAGAATAATTTATAACGCTTTGCCAAATGTTTTAATTTTTGTTCGCTCCTGACGAGGATAAAAGATTTTTGTCAAAACGTCGAGATAATAAAAAGATTTACTGGCTGAAGTATCTTTTATTTGAATAAATAGTTACTGTTATCAAGTGTGTATACAAGATAGCAGATAAGAAGAAGATAGTTTTCTAAGAATACCTAAAATATTAGAATAAAAGTGTAAAAAAACTTTTTATTTACACTTCTAATTCAAAGAATAATATTTTAGGGTTCTTAGAAAACTATCTTCTTCTTATCTGCTATCTTGTTTACACACTTGATAACAGTAACTATTTAAAACATGCTCTGATAATATTTTCTCATTTGGGGCTCAAAAATGATCTATTTTGGTTAGCAGCCCCATAAATAAAGATATTTCCGTATTTTCTCATTCAATACTTTTGTCTGAAGATGGTAACAATACTGTTACTGAAACATCACACACTATTTATTTATTTGGTCTTATTACCTTTAGTTTATAATCTATAATACAAATACAAATCAATAATAGATATCCCAGAAGTATACAATAGTTTAATACACAACCCTGATACATAAAACTACATTCCAGATAAGCAATAGTATATTTCTCACTTGTTTTGTATATATATAAAATATAAAATTTAATTCGGGCATAAAATATTCATGTTAATTAAAAAAATCTTTTGCACATTTTAAAATATGTAAATAACATACCATATATAAATAATAGCTAAAAACTGTGATTCATTTCGTCTTATACACTCCTGTCGAAGGGTTTACAATACCCGAAAGCTCAAGATGTCATTTATGAAATAAAGAAACTTATCCTCGGAGTTTTCATGTGTTACTGAAATACAAATTGTGTCTTATCAAAGAGAGGCATCCTTTTACTGGAGAGCTGCTAATTAGTAAAAAATGGTAATTTTGATGATTGAACCTGTTCTATGTAGAGATGTGTCCTCTAGTTGAGGTTACTCTCCTGTCCAAGATAACCCCCTCTACTGTACTAAGCTCCTCAGCTGTGGAAGGGTTTAGGGAACAGCCCAGAAGTGTCGAGTCATTGTTGAGGGCCAACAGCAGATAGCTTATCTCCTTAACATGGTGGTAGACTCCCTTCTCCCACTTGATCCACTCTGGAATATTTTGTCTCTTTCTCCCAGGGGCCCGGACTTTACACAATTGTTTTTCAGACTTAAGTCTGGTCATCTATGGATAATGACTTCTTCCAGAATGGTTACAAGGTTTTCCTACTATGTACCAAGTGTCAACCTGCAACCCCAAACCCCCCTTTATTGACTGTATTGACTTATCCATTGATAAACTCTACTCACATCCCCAGAAGAGACACCATCGACAAGCTCTACAGACTTGATACCCTAATAGAATTGTTGAGTGGAGATAAGAGAGAATTGTAAACAGTATCACTCTCTTTTTGGAAAAATTTAAATCCTCTGCAATACATATAAATCAATAAACTAAATTCCCCTATTTTTTCTTTTTTTGCTTAAGTTTTCTACAGTAGAACCTCTCGAAGAGAGAATACTCCACCAACATCTCTCTAAAATCGAAAGTTTTCTTCACTAAAATTACTGTCTTTTAAACCCTTTAGCAACTCTCCAGTAAGAGGATAACTCTCCCTAAAGGACATTTTGGCTCTACAACTTGGCGTGGTCCTTTATGGAGAGTTTGTTTTTTAACTCTCCACCATTCACTTGTATAATGTAAATAAAATAATTTTAAAATATATCTCTTCCCCCTGCTTCCTCCCTCTAAACAAATGTCAAATCAAACTACGGTCTTGTTGTGAGCACTCTTATAGTGTCTAGACAGTCTGGCACCATTGTTTATCTGCCATTTCATTGGCTGATATCTTGTCTATAGAGAGTTGTTTGGCCTTGTTGACATACTGGAGCACAGTAAATGACAACCTCTCTGTAAATAACAACACCCAGTTACTAAGATAAAATGTCCTCTAGGGAGACAGGTGTCTTCTTACCGGAGAGTTGCTAAATAGTTTAAAATGGTAAACACAAGGATCAAATACAAATAAATGAATAGTGTGTGATGTTTCGGTAACAGCCGAGTTTCAGACAAGATTCAGGACTTTTGTCTGAAGATGGTAACAACACACTGCTACAGAGTGGTACTTTCAGGTCTTCAGACCAACAGCACCCCTCTTTCCTTCTCCATGATGTTTACAATCCTCCAAAAAAAGACCTCTGGGAAAACTCCAGAACTATAATAGTAAAGCTGATACAATGGAACCTAATGGAGATCATTTAAACAACTTGAGGAATAAGCAATAACAACAACAATACACTGTTACCTAAATGCTGCACACTATTTATTTATTTGTATTTGATCTTATTACCTTGTGTATAACGAATCAAAAGTTTTTACGAAGGAGTATCTTTTATTATATTTGTGCAAGCTTAGGTTCTTCCATGCCTGTGGAAGAACTGCAAAGTTCGAAAGCTTGCACAAATATAATAAAAGATACTCCTTCGTAAAAACTTTTGATTCGATATACACTTATACCAATTGTACGGAGTTTACCTGTAGAAATTATTACCTTGTGTTTAAAGCCTTTTTTATTTTACTTTGGTTGGTTGGTAGGTTGTGGAGTCAGTGATTGTTGAGTTCTTGGATGGATCACATCATATATTTGCCATCATCCTGGACCTCAGCCTCCAGTCTTCAACTTCCTCAATTCCAACACCAACCCAAGATATCAGAATTTTTTAGGTTGAATTGTGTCCTGAATTATAGTCAGTTAAATTAAAGAAAATCATTGTGGGATTTGAAAAAATAAATTTTAAAAAAGATGAGCAACAATTTGGATTATAGATTATAAACACAAGGTAATAAGACCAAATCCAAATAAATAAATAGTGTGTGACATTTCAGTAACAGCGTTGTTACCATCTTCAGTTTCCATTCAGTACTTTTGTCTGAAGATGGTAACAACGCTGTTACCGAAACGTCACACACTATTTATTTATTTGGATTTGGTCTTATTACCTTGTGTTTGAATTTTAAAAAAGAAATATATGCATCAAAAAATTTCTTATAACAGATGACGCGAGCTAATGCATTATATTATTAATGAGATTTGTAAAAATTCTTGAGTTAAAGTTGATGTTGAATTATAGTCAGTTTAATTAAGGAAAATTGCCTCGTTGGAATTTGTAAAAAACTGTTGAATTAAAGAGGGTGATATATAAGGAATGTAATTGCCTATTTCATCACAAATACTAATACCTATATATATATATATATATGTGAAGTAGCAACTCTCAAATGCATTATGTAAATAAATTAGTATAATAGTATAGTAGTAATAAGTCTTCTTTCTTATCTCCACTCAATCACATTAAGGTATCAAGCTTGTAAAGCTTGTTGATGATGTCTGCCGGAGAAGAGTAGAGCTCATCAATGGATGGTAGTAATAAGTAAATAATGGAATTGTGCAACTTTGTGTCAAGGAGAATGTCCCAAGCCCCATCCACCAAGGATGATCCCCCAGACCCAGAGCCCTCCGATGTCTCCCCTCCTTACGGTGGGGATTGCCAGGTGGTCAACTCCTGTCTGTCAGATAACACCGCCAGGGACCACCGCTCCATGAACTTCCACGTTGGCAGTTTCCCCTCAGAGGCCCTGGAAGTGATGAACCAGCTGCGTGCGTACAAGAAACTGTGTGACGTGGAGATCCACGTGGGCACCGAAGCCTTCCCCGTCCACAAAGTGGTAATGGCCGCCTGCAGCCCCTACTTCAAGGCCATGTTCACCAGCGGACTGAAAGAATCCGACATGTCTGTCATCCACATCCAGGGGGTCTGTCCTCTCACGATGGCCTGCATCATCCGATTCGCCTATACTGGCCGCATCAAGGTCTCCGAAGTCAACATCTGTAACCTTCTCCCTGCAGCCACCATGTTCCAGGTGAGGCTCTCCCTCCATGATTGATTGCTCTCTGAGACCCAATACACTCAAAACATGGTGAAACCCTATCAAAATTTAAGATCAACTTTTCCCATCTAAATAGACGTCATAGACTAGTCTATTGACAGTTTCTGTGAACTAGCTGATTTGATTCAGTGACAAAGCCACAGCTTTGGCAAACTGAAAAATGTTCATCAGGGAACCATGGTTCCGGGCTAATGGCTCTTGTCAGTCTAGGGTGGACTTCATTTCACGAGAGAGAGAGATCTACAAGGAATCAAATGGAATCATCACAATCTGTCAAAGAGGTGTTGTTTAGCTGGTAGACCAGTGAATAGACCATATCTGTTACGACTACTAGAGTAGTCAACTTTATTTTTATGTAAAAACTAGACGAATGACCCGGGCAACGCCCGGGTTTACCCGATTAAATGCTTTTATTCAAATACTATTTGTTACAATTATAAATTGGCGCCGTGGATGTCATTCTTGTATAATATATAAATGAGTTTTAAAAATTGTAAAAAAAAAAAAAAAAATGCATCTGCCGGGAATCGAACCCGGGCCGCCCGTGTGGCAGGCGAGCATTCTACCACTGAACCACCGATGGTTATGAGAAATGGCCATATTTGGGTATTTATTCCATTCACAAAAGCAAACGGTGACAGAATTGATTAAGAAAGAATTGATTATGACGCTGATAACTGTATACATTAATATTTGTAACTTAAAACTAAGAGAAAAAAAGTATGTAAATTTCTTTGAATATATAAATTAGTATGTAAATTTCTTTGAATGTATAAATTGACCGTGTTTTCCAATAAAAAAAAAAGTTTCAGGATAAGTTTAGGAGAATAGATAGTTGTCCTTAGAGCCTCTTCCTTGGAATTGCCGAGCTGGTCAAGTAGCTGGACTCTAGGTCGTCTCTCAAGGTAAAGAGAGACAGCAATCTATACTTAGAACCTTCAATAATATCTATGTTCGAAATATAGAAGCAAATTTTTACCGGGAGGACAATGATCTATAAAAATAAAGGTCTCCTCCCCAGTCAAAATAGATGTCAAAACTAAATTCCATATTTTAATAGATCAGTATCCTCCAGATAAAATTTCCATAGCTAAACCCGTCTCTCCTGGAGATGTTCTCTTATCAGAACTCCCCCTGCTGTGACCTGTAATCCTACAAAGCTGTCAAGTCTGTATATCTTGAACTTTTTGATGCTGATAATGTGCTGGGGATGGGTACTGCTCATCATTTGATGAGGTAATGCAGTCAAGGATGTACCAGGTTTTCTAGAGATATGTTGTTGTGTTTCTTATCCCCTTGTGTAAAGATTACACAAATTCCATTAGTTCATGCTCCTCGAGCTGTTTTATGATAAGCCGCGACCTCTCCAAAGGGTCCTGTTTGGTACATCTAATGCAAGCCAAAATGTGTTCTGGAGCTGCAGGTGCCAAGCTACATTTTGGGCAAGTGGGGTAGATTTATATAGAGATATGTAAAATAAAAAGCCAATTCTCAACCCCACTGGTTCATAAAGAGGTTATAGCATAAATGTGATATTTTTATGAAAATATTGCACTCCACATAAATTTCAACCTTCAAATTAAAGGCATTCTTTTAGATAGAAAAATGGACTGGGTTTGTTGCATGATATTTTGATGATCAGATGATCATATTTGTCTTTTGAAAAATATACAAACATATTTCCATATACAGTAGAACCTCCATGAGAAGACACTCACGTTAGAGAACACCTTTCTACAAAAGACAGTTTTCTTTACTAAAATTAGCATTTTTACTATTTAGAAACTCTCTGGTAAGAGGACACCTCTCTGTAAAGGACCCTTGCACTTTAACTAGGTGTTGTCTTACAAGAAAATAAGACCTAATCCAAATAATTTATTAGTGTGTGACGTTTCGGCAACAGCATTCTCACCATCATAAGACAAAAGAATAAAAAATCTATTTGTGGCAATGCTGTTGCCGAAACGTCACACACTAATAAATTATTTAGATTAGGTCTTATTTTTTTTGTATTATAATCTATAATCCAAATTGTGCTTTATCATAGGTGTTGTCCTTTACAGAGAGGTAGTTCTACTATAGTAACTACTGTGCAGCAAGATTTGCATAACTGTTGTACAAGTCAGCGAGGTGTATCAGATCACCCGCATCATCAAAGCCTGCTGCACCTTCCTGGAGAAGCAGCTTGACACCAACAACTGCATCGGCATCGGAGACTTCGCCCTCCAGTATGGCTGCACGGAGCTGGCCGAGAAAACCGAGCATTTCATTAACCAGCATTTTTCTCAGGTTTCTTTTTCCTCTCTTCTTCCTCTTTTTCCCCCACTTTTTTTCTCTTTTATTTTTACTACAAAGTAACAAGACCAAATCCAAATAGAGTGTCAGGTTTTGGTAACAGAGAAACTCATTCAGTCTTTTTGTCTGATGATGGTAACAATGCTGTTGCTAAAACATCACACACTATTTATTTATTTGGCCTTATTACCTTATGTTTATAATCCAAATTGTACTTTATTACTCTTATTTTTACATTGATAAGACACAATTTGGATTAAAGATTATAACACAAGGTAATAAGACCAAATCCAAATAAATAAATAGTATGTACATGGGGTGTAATAAATGTTCCCACTCCAGGAATACAGAGGAGCTGTGTCTGTGCTCATGTTAGAGTCGGTAGCAAAGGCTTCCATGTTAGAACGGCCTCAAACTACAGGCAAAGTCAGACTTACACCAAAGTGTGCCTGGATCATGGTGCCATGATCAACGAAAGCTGCACCCCTATACCCCATTCCATGAGATCATGAACTCATGGAATTCATGTAATCTTTACACAAGGGGATAATAAACAACAACAGGGTGTGATGTATTGGCAACAATACTGTTACTGAAACTTTATACCGTATTTATTTGGATTTGGTCTTATTACGTTGTGTTGTATTGTGGCTAATTACATCTTTATTGGATTGAAGTATGTTGGGGTTGGTTAAGAGAGAAAGTGAGACCAAAAATAGGTCGTCTTCAGTTTTTTCTTCTCTGCACTTGAGCAAGTCTCAAGTGGAACCTTGTTTCTCAATCTTAAACTCTTTGATCCTTCTTAGCTTCCCCGTCTAACAAAGATGTCAAACTTACACATGATACATCACCCAATTTGAATTATAGATTATAAACACAAGGTAATAAGACCCAATCCAAATTATTTGTGTGTGACATTTCATTAACCCCAGTGTTACCATCATCAGACAAAAGTACTGAATGAGATAATATATCGCAGCATGTTTTAAATAAGATTATATAAAAGGGCGTACCTGGATCTTTAAAGAAAAAAAAAAACATTTCTTCTCAAAATATTTTGAAAGATTGCTCCCTCTTTATCAATTTATTGCACAGCACAAAATTTTTTTTTTTTTTTTCTTTACAGATCCAGGTACGCCCTTTTATATAATTTTAATTGATGGATTGCCTTTTGACTCAAATGATTTAAATAGTTATTGTTAAGAAGTGTGTTACACACATTGTTGCTGAAATGTCACACACTCATTTATTTATTTAGATTCTGTCTTATTACTTTGTGTGTACACATGATATAAATGACATGCATTCACTACACAGAAATCCAAAGTTTTCAATAAAATAAAAAAAAAAATGTATGACTACATTATATACACTCATGATCAAATATAAAGGAACCTTCTAGCATGTATATATCGGATTTCAGACAATAACTCTGAAAGATATTACAGTGACCTTTATTGAAGACACATGAGATAACTGTTGTAATATATATATATATGTGCATGTGTATATATATAACTTAATGAATAATATAATTTATGGCACAGAATAATTCTAATCTTTTGATTTGATGCAAATTATTTTTGATAACAGACTTATTTGCATATACACTCATGGACAAAACCTTAAGAAAGTTGTACCTTTCAGCATGTATATGGGGACAATAACCTTGAAATATATTAGTGGCCTTTATTGAAGACACACAAGATAACCAAGTGTGTATACACTCATGGACAAAACTTAAGGAAGTTGTACCTCATGTATATCGAGATTCAGACAACAACTCTGAAAGATATTACAGTAACTTTTATTGAAGACACACAAGATAACCAAGTGTGAACAAAATTGACTCTGTCAATGAAAGGATTCAATTTTATAGCGTGTGGACTAAAGTCGCTTCCAGACCCTATAGACTAAATCTTTGTTAAGGAAGTGGAAAGTCTTTGATGTTGCTGGTTGTCTTTTTTTTTAAAGGAGAAAAAGGAAATTTTGTTCACACCTGGTTATCTCATGTTTCCTCAATGAAAATGACCACATATAACACAAACATATCATAGAGAGAGATACTAGATCTATTTACATATTTACGGCACGATGGCAATGCTGACCGGCGCAGGTGTCCCTCAGCGAGGAGTTCCTCGGCCTCACCACCTGCGAGCTGGTGGCCCTGATCCGCAGGGACGAGCTGAACGTACGTAGCGAGAGCGAGGTGTTTGACGCTGTGCTGAGGTGGATCGAACACGACCGGGAGGTCAGGATCCCCAAACTGGCCGACATCTTGTACTGCGTACGCTGCCACTTCCTCACACCTCGTTTCCTACGTGAGAAGATCCAGTCCTGCGAGATTGTGAAAAGCATGCCGCAGTGTATCCAGTATCTCACCAGGATCATACAGGTTTGTTCTCCCTGACTCCTACATACTTCATGGCTTCCATGGATGGAGAAACTTGGTAGCCGAGTGCTCTTCATCTTTCTTAGCTCCACTCAATTAAATATGATCTACTTTTCAGAATAGTAAAATCCTCCGCAATAAATCGATTAAATTGAGCTCTTTGAATAAAAATAACAAAATATAACAACGATTGAAGAGGAGTGTTTTATACGAACTTTATTAACAAGCTTTCGGACGTCCTTCTACAGGCTTTACCTATGATTGTAGAGCCTGTCACTGAAAGGATTTAATTTTTATAGCATGTGAACTAAAGTCGCTTCCAGACCCTATAGACTATATCTTTAGTAAGGAAGTAAAAAGTCTTTGATGTCGCTGGTTGTCTGTTTTTGTTTTTTTTTTAAAGGAGAAAGAAGCAATTTTATTCACACCTGGTTATTTCATGTGTCCTCAATGTGGTCATTTTGACCACATATAACACAAACATATCATAGAGAGAGAACCTCTCCTACTAGATCTATTTACATATTTACGGCACGATGGCAATGCTGACCGGTTTGTAGAAGGACGTCCGAAAATTTGCAAATAAAGTTCTTATAAAGACACACCTCTTCAATCGTTGTTATATTTTGTTAATAAATAATAAAATAAAATGGCTTTTCTGAGGATGGATTTCATGCTTTATTGTATATTCATCTCAAGCTTTCAGGTACAGTAGAACCTCCATGAAAGCATACTCATGTTAGTGGACCCCTCTCTACAAAGGACAGTTTTCATTACCAAAATTATTATTTTTACTATTTAGCAATTCTTCGGTAAGAGGAAACTACTCTCTAAAGGACACTTTGGCTATTTAATTTGGTGTTGTCATTTACAAGGAGGTTCTACTTGTAA